GTGTTCCAGCCTCCCCTCCTCCCTCTGCCCAGCCGGCTTGAGAGAGCTTTGTGTGTCCCTTGGCGGACTGCCAGCAAGCCGCCGCTGCCCCTTTAAGGGAAGGCTGCCTCCAGGCGCTGGAAACCCCTGAAGCTGGGCCACACCCCTGGGCAAAGGCAAAGTGAGCGGGTGCTGATCTTGCTCATGCCTTCAGATGCCGTGGAAACGGGCCAAGTGAGGTTGGCCTTGCTGCGCCGGATACAAATGGGTAATAGGTAGCAGAGTTATTCATTTGGGAGGGGGAAACAGGCTGATCAACAGTTGCCTGGCTCTAGAAACATTTCTGGTTTTTTGCCTGCCAAAAATCCTCCGATTCTGCTAGTTGCAACAGCGACCTGCGCCCGGGCATGGCCGACGACGACCACAGCCGCCATGAGAGGGCTTGGCCTCATCATCACTCTCCCACCCAAGCGTCTGTCCCGCATGTCAGCTTCCAGCACACTGAGGCTGACAGGCTTCGCGCCGCTTGTGTGGGAGGGAATCAGGGAACACAGCCAATGGATAGGGAGACCTTGTGATTGACACAGCCGGCAGCCAACTGATTTTGGTGCGCATCGAATCTTGCCATGCGAAAACACGATTGTATATAAGGAGAGATTGGAGAAGAGAAAAAGTGTGTGTAATCAGACATATAGGTTGGACTTTATAAAAGCTAATTTTATAACAAACAAAATTATGCTGGGTAGAATCTCATGGTCAGAAATATTCAAGAGAGTTCAAGAGGAGTGAAAGTTTCTTAAAAGCAAAATATTGAAAGCATAATCACAGACAATTCCAATGAGAAGAGAAAATGGGATGAAACTAAAGAAGCCAGGGTGGGTCCATAAACAGCTTTCTAGAGATCTGAGAATTTAACAAGACACATTTAGAAAATAGGAGGGCCTTATAACCAAGGATGAATATAAACAAACAGCCAGTGCTTGTTCAGAGAGTGTCAGAAAAGCTAAAGGTCAGTATGAGCTTAGGCTAGCAAGAGATGCTAAACACAACAAAAGGGCTCCTTGGAGCAAGAAAAAGAACCAAGATGTGGTAGGCCCACTGCGGGGAAAGGAAAGTGGAATTTTAATAGGTGATGAAGAGAGGGCAGAACTGCTCAATTCCTACTTTGCCTTGGTCTTCTCTTGTAAGGGAAGTGGTGCTTAACCTGGCAAAAAAGAAAATACACAATGAAGAGAGTTGCAGCCTAGGATAGGCATAGGGGCGGTACATAAATACCTTCTTTAAATCAAGTCATTAGGGCCAGATGAATTGCATCCAATGGTTCTAAAACAACTTGCTGATCTAATTTCAAAGGCTCTGTCCATTTTTGAGAACTTTTTGAGAGGAAGAGGAGGAGGAGGTGGAGATTGGATTTATACCCTGCCCTTCACTACCCAAAGGAGTCTCAGAGCTGCTTACAATCCATTTCCCTTCCCCTCCCCACAACAGAGACCCATTGAGGTAGGTGGGGCTGAGAGAGCTCTCTCAAGAACTGCCCTTGAGAGAACAGCTCTGAAAGAACCTATGACTGACCCAAGGTCACACCAGCAGCTGCATGTGGAGGACTGGGGAATCAAACCTGGTTCTCCCAGGTAAGAGTCCGCACTCTTAACAACTACATCAAACAGGTGAGGTACCAGGATTCTGGAGGTGGACAAATGTTGTCTCCATCTCTAAAAAAGGGGGAAAGGAAGATCCAGATAATAGCTGGTCTTCCATACTTGGTAAGATTTTAGAACTAATCATCAGTCAGTCCTTCAGAATTTAGAAAAGACAGTTATTATTAAGAGCCAACATGGGTTCCTCAAGAACCAAGTCATGTCAGACTAACCTTATCTCCTTTTTTGATAGAGTTATTACTTTGTTCAATTGCAGGCGAGGTGCTGAGGACATACTTGATTTCAGTAAGGCTTTTGATAAGGTTCCATATAATATTCTTGTTGGTAAAATGTGGCCTGGATCCTACCACTGTTAGGTGAATTTGTAAATGGTTGACAGATCACACCCATAGAGTGCTTGTTAGTGGTTCTTCATTCCCTTGGAGAGGAGGAAAAGTGGAGGGCCTCAGCAATCTGTCCTGGGCGGTCCCCATGTTGTTCAACATATTTATAAATGACTTGGATGAAGCATTAGAGGGAATGCTCATTAAATTTGCAGATGATACTAAATTTGGATGGGTGTAGAAGACAGAATCAAGATTCTGGGCTAAAACTAACAAAATTAATTTCAACATAGATAAATGTGAAGTTCTGCATTTAGCTAGGAAAGAATCAAAATCATAGTTATAGGATGAGGGAGACTCGTCTTGGTAGTGGCACATGTGAAAGGATCGAGGTGTCTTGGTAGATCATACACCGAACATGAGTCAGCAGTGTGATGCAGTAGGTTAAAAAGCAAATACGATTCTGGGCTGCATCAACAGAAGTACAGTGTCCCGTTCACACAAAGTGGTAGTATCACTTTGCTCTGGTTAGACCTCATTTGGAGTTTTGGGCAACACAAGTTTAAGAAGAATGTTGATAAGCTGGACTGTCTCCGGAGGAGGGCAACGGAGATGGTGATGAAGTGCTTGGCTCTTGTGGCCTTTTCTCATATGTCCAGGGTAATGCTGATCACCACTTTGGAGTCAGGAAGGAATTTTCCCAGGCCTGTAGCCAGAAAACTTGTATTGGGAGGACAAACAAGTACAGGGGCAGTGAGCCCATCATTATTTATTTATTTATTTACTACATTATATATTTATAATTGATACACCAATTTTCTACTTGAGACTCCAAATGTAATCGAATAGCATGAGAGACCTAATAAGCAATGCAATAGGACTAGGGTTACAAAAAACAGAGCACTGCTTAAAAGTAACATTCTATGTCAAACAATGCAGAAAATGGAATCCCCCCCAATGAAAACAATGCTGTAAGCAGTTCTGAGTTTGCCACAACACCATTTTACGCTTTCATACCTCAATCTTTCTCTCTGCTTTAGTCCAACATGATGTTCCCACCCCCACCCTGCCCCTGCAGACTTTTAAAATCAGGACTCTTCAGTCCTGCTAGCTGCTAATTCTGTTCTAGCCAATTGCATAGAGAATTCACCCTTGGAAGATTTATGACAGGATTCACACCTTTTTACCTCAACTCCTTCCTTTTTACATAGAGAATTTACCCCTGAAAGCAGAGCCAGTTACAGGTTTTTGTGGGCCCTGGGCAAAATAGTATAACTGGGCTAGGCTTGCCAAGTCCCCCTGGTTTCCCCCCCCCAGAGGCCTGTACCCCGCCGCTGGCGGATCGGGCCCCGGGGGGAACTCCACCCCAACGTTCACGTCACCCGGAAGTGACGTGACGACGCCGGGCATGCTGGGGGCGGGGCCACGGTCATCCGAGGGAAAACTCTATGGTTTTCCCTCAGATGGCCGTGGCCCCGTCCCCAGCGTGCCCGGTGTCGTCACGTCACTTCCGGGTGATGTGCATGCGGCGCACGTGCACTCCAGCCACCAGACGGGAGCCCCCCGCTGTGGCTCGATAACGACTTGGCAACCCTAAACTGGGCCCCCTTTTCCCTTTGGTGCAGCCCTTTTCTTCTCTAGCCATACCCTTCCAATTGGCTCCTCCCCTTTAGTTCTACCTTTTGTTCTTTAACAATTCCCTTTTCCATTTCAATTTAAAGCCTTGTTTGCTATGCTCAGTTTAGTCTGATCAGAAGCCAGCAGTGTCAGTAGGGGAGGCCAGAGATAGATTTTGGATGGCTGCTGCCTCAGCCAAAAGCCCTGCGGAACATCTTCGTTTTACAGGCCCTGAGGAAGAGCTTGTTCCACCAAATTGGGGCCAAGGCAGAGAAAGCCCTGGCCCTAGTTGAGGCTAGCCGGACATCCTTGGGGCTGGGGACAACCAGCAGGTGTTGGTGAGTTTTGTACAATGCTCTGTGGGGCACATATGCGGAGAGGCGCAATTTGTTTTTGATCTTGTATGTGTGTTATTTTTTGTGTGCTTCCTGTATGTTAGCCTTCTTATTTTCTATTCTAAAAACATATGTCTTCATTTTATTTTGAACTGGTTTTTGAGAATTTTCAAAGGGAAAGATCCCTGTAGACAGATGTAGTAGATCCTCGCTTAATACCCCACCTCTTGCTGAGGCCTCTGCCATTTAGCTAACTTCCCTTAGAGACTGAAGGGAGCGATCCAGCTCTTAAAGGCAGCTCTTAAAATCTAAGCTACCATTATCACCAAAGCATTCAAATGTCACTTGTCCACCTAGGCCAAAGTGTGTGGTGTGCATGAATGCGTACTCATACAAAACTTAATCTATGAAACCACAGCTGAAATTTCATTAACTTTGTTTTTAGTAATGACTTGATTATATTTATAAAGGCCAAACGAAAGCACAGAAAAAAGCATTAAAAAGCACCATTATTTTATTTTGTTTTATTGAATTTCTAAGCCAAGCCAGCCTCTCCAGCAGCTGTCTGGGTTAGCCATTGTTACTGGGCACATGCCTTCTTGTAGTGATCAATATTCATGACAAAAGCTAGTCTGGTTTCCAATGGAGACAGTAAACACACTGAGAAAACGCAAGGCTCTGGGTGTTTCGTTTCAGTTGCACAAGCAGAACAAAAGCTGTCTTGGTCCTGGGGGGGGGAACTCCCTGTGTACTACTGATAACACTAGGCTGTTTTAACACATTCAGCCGGCATTCTGGGGACTCTTGAAGCAATGTGAGAGTTATAAAATAAAGGAGCAGATGCTTCAGTTTCTGGAACATGTATTTAAAGCTTACTATAGACAGCCAAGAATCCAGAACTGTCAATGGTTTTTGCTTTTTTAAAAGAAATATATAGTGATGCTGAATCTTACCTAGGCCAGCTTGCACGCAAGAGTGATCCAAAACAGTACATGCAGAGTTGCCAGAAACTTTGCCTGTTGGACGTCGTGCTCTCTGTACAGTTTCTACTGGCTTGGCTCATTAAACCAAAAATGCTAGAATAAATAATGATGAATGTTGATGAAATGCCCAAGCTTTCTAGTGATAATCCAGCATCACGTAGCACAAGAGGCTCAGGGAGCAGAGCAAACGGGCTTTGGGGAACGACATCAGCAGGGGACTGGTTGCCAGTGACCAGCCATGTTGGGGATTCTTCCTCATCCACATCTCCTTTGCTCAGCAGCACTCAGACAGGACGATCCACATCAGCCACACCAAGCTTGGTGAAACAATTGAGGAGAACTCAAGGAGAACAGCAAGAAGCCTTGAAGGGTGACCAGGTCCAACAGGACAAGATCTGGAGAGAGTTAGTGGATGCTGAAAGAAGGGCAACCAAATACTGGTAAGTATCAGACCCATTTGGCAGTCTCCTCCTGTTGGCACTAACCCAGCAGTTCTTTTGTGTTGGAGTGTACATGTGCTGATTTTAGAGAGAACCTCTAGTCCAAAGTATGGTTGTACACTGAGTATGCTGCTATTATCTGTTTTCATCCACTGTCTGTTTTCTTAGGTTGGCTTCATACACTAATCTTTCTTTCTTTGAACTAATCTCTTTATAGGAAAAGACATGTGAAATTATTGTCTATATGTCAAGTGCAGCATGAATGTTTATTTTTATTATGAGAACACAGATCAGATATGATAGCATACACGTTTTAACTGATATAGTAACTATCTCTGTGTTGGAAAAAGGTATGCATTGATCTCCTTATTTACTGCGTGAGCATTCGGTGGGAAAGGATCTCCCTTTTAACAGTACTTTTATACAGAATCCAAGATTCTGCACATTCTTGCATTGTAATGGAGCACTGCTGTTATTTATTATAGTGTTGTATGTTCCCCATCTCTCTGTCTGTAGCAAGAAGTTCCAGAGATAGAACTAAAGGCAGCTCTGGGGCCTTACGACTTTTTGTAGCAATTGCTTTATTCTCTCTCTCAAAGCTGAGCACAGGTATAAGCAAAGAGGCACTCCTACAGGGAACTCAGCCTTTTAATGTATTTCTGATTCTGATTGTAAATGAGTTTTGGTTGGGAAGGGGTTATTGAAATCTATGGCGTCCTGCTCTTTCTCCTGTGATTCTTCTAACATATCCTCTTGTTTCTGCCAAATTCCGGCCCATTTTTTGCTGTTCTGGATTCTGGAATCATTTTGGCTGGGACAAGGTTATTAAAAGCATGATATTTCAGTGTTTTTATTTCTAAATATTGTTAATTGTCTTTAACCCATCTCACCGTGTTTTGCCATAATATTTATTTAATGTATGTTTTATGCTGTTCCTCATGCATTTTGGCTGGGAAA